TGAAAAGTTTGACAGGGTTTCTCTCGCACGCATGACACTCGTAATTCGTGAGTGTCGCACAAAAGAAGCGCGCATGAAATTTGACCGTGATCGATATTAGTGGATTAGTGTCGAATTAGCGGCTGTTAACGGATCTACATGACGTCAAATTTTATTAATTACGAACCCCTGATTCCATGCGTTCATATAAATTATGGACTTAAATTCGGCTTTTCTGCTTAACAGACTTTGTTTAACGTTTGGCAGGCCTTTCGTTTATTGAAAACCGAACAAACCATGACTTTCAAAAAAGGAAGTAAATCTCCTTACTGTCTGCTATACAATTCTTATGATCTTAGTTCGGAGAATTTGGTATCGGATCAACTTATAATCCCCTGATTGAAATAATTCTTGATTCTCATCACCAGCTTGGTGTTGTATTGATATTGACAGGAGAAATTCTATCTTGGTCACTCTGGGGAGTTGAAAGGTTAACACCAAGGAATCGACATGATCTTCGCATTTCGCAGTCAGATTCTTGAAAGAATACGGAGAACTCGCTCATGAACTAAGTTGTATTCGAGGTTCAATCAGTTTTGCGGGATTAGGGATGAAGTTAGCGGAGGAAAACTGTCGGTTTCTTTTGATAAGCGAGAAGGCGTTCCGAGCTAAGTGTGTTTAATCTGAACTAATTAAGGATGAGGTTCTTAGTTTGTTAAATAAAAGGGTGTTAGCGAATCAAACTCTGAATATTGAATAGATTTCTTTCTGTTGAAGATTACAAGACGTAGCAACCTGGCGTACCTACACATTGCAGAGACATACAGTATGGCGAGCGGTTCAAACGTTTAGTACAAGTTCTTGTCTTTTGCCTCGTTCTCGGGCGTCCCAAATTTTCCATTGTCTCCTAATGTGATAATTGCTTGGGCACTAAACGCTAAGCTTTGTTTTTTTCGAAAGAAGCTTTGATTAATTGCGTTCAGGTCAGTCATCTGATAATTACAAAGACACCCAAACGTGTGTCTGGTTAAAGTTTCTTGTTTAGCTCTTGAAATTTCAAATGGTGGCCTCTCTAGCCTGGCGTGGAAACGTTAAATAATGCGTCAAAACAGCTGAAGAGTTCGTAACTATGGAGAAATTTTACATCAACATGCGATACTGAGTGGAAGAGCAACAAATCTCCATCAATGAGAAGAAGCTTGATTCAAGCCGCACTCCTACATTGGTCAGTTTTGATCGGAGACGATCCATAGGTTTGCTGTTGAATAATTATGTACATGTAACTGCTGTACTGCAAAAACAAACTTGTATATCGGAAAGTGTCTACGGAAAGAAACATTATTATTTGACTAAGCTAGCGTGTGTATAAACTCTGTCGTGTCTACAAATTTTAATTTGCCTCTTGGGAGCAGTACTGAACGGAAAATAAACGGCGGTATCGACTTCAGCGTGATCTTACAGAACAGTACGTGAGAAGATTATGCAATGACAAGTGTTGTATCTTTCACCTCATTTAAAGAGTGTCTTGGAGAGGTAAGGAGTTACGCAAGAAACTCGTTAACAGTAAATTAATAGCAATTGTACGAGCGTGAAACTTTGGCAACAATCACGTAACTTAGAGCGGGTTTACCATACTAAAACGTTCCCCTCAATGAAGAAATAACAGACGACCTAGCCTGGAGCCAGCATTTGGATATCTGACCAACCTCACAACTCAGGCAGATTACTGGATGGTTGCACAGTTTGTGGGAGTTTACGTCGACGCTGATCGAAAATTATAGCCGATCTATTACTGTTAAAGCAATCACGTCCGCTATTCAACTATTTCCAAGGGTGTTATCGAAGTTAGACGGAACCAGTAATCACAGATTTAACTGAGCCTCACACATAAAGAAGTTGGCTTCAGTGTAAGTAGTAGCGTTACCATGTACCAACAATTCGTCACCTGTTAACTTTTGTCTGCATACCACTATCAAACGGCCAAACTCTATCTTTTGAAGAATTCTTTTACTGCAGCTACGCAAACTACTAAGGAAAAGGGGTCGTTAATTAGTAATCTATAGCAGGCTAGAGGAGTGAAGAACGGATTGCTCTTTTAGCAAGACAGCTCTTCAAAAATTAAATCTGGTCATTGACAAGAGATGTCAGAACTTGAAAGAGAAGAAATCGACTCCTGTCATTCAGAAGTCAAAATGATAGACGGAAGCCAGTCATCATTACAGACAGTTTTAGTCACAGTCAGCATCGAGAAGCCCGCAGCTAAAAATATTAAACGAGTGCGTTTCAACAGCTTGGTCGAAGTCAAATTTATTCCTAAATGCAAGAGTGAAAAAAAGAGAAAGGAAAAATCGCAAAAAGAAGGCAAAGAAAAGACTGAGTGCTTCAAAGCTACCACAAAGAAAACAGATCATGAAACCCAGGCTCGTAGAAAAGATGTTGATGTTAAGGGTGAGTTGGACCTTTGTGCGCAGAAGGTTACCATCGCAACAGAAACTTCTTCTAAGATTGAAATGAGGGACTCGTCCACGATGAAAACTCCTCAAAGTTTTGAAGAAAACGCCGAGACGGGATTAAATCTAGACAAGAAACGAAGTGCTGCGACGGCGAAACGCGTGTTAAACCGGAAAACCACAAATAAGAAGACAAAAGCTGGTAGAGGCTTGACTCGGCTGAATGGCTGTGCTGTTAAATCGCGAGTGACAGTTCGTGAGAGTTACGCAACAAATAAAGTAACGCTCGGTGGTGATTATAACGGGAAAACTTTACGATTAAGTCCAACTACTTTTTCAGTTGCATCAAACATTCATTTTAGCGAGTCTCCAGCTCGGAATACCAAGAGAAAGAACATCCAAGAATTTGGATCCGACAGGGAACTTTGGCGATTGGAAAAACAAACTGCGAAGTTTTGCGAGGAAGCTGCAGCACTGATTGCTCAGGTGACAGAAAATACCGCTGACTTGCAATCACATTTGAAAGTTCCACCAAATACTGCCCACCTGGGTGGAAATCACGGACAAACTTTTCCAACAGAACACATCAAGGCTAGTTTTAGAAAACCATCAAATGTCCAAGATCTTTCTCCGTTCGGGAAAACCGCTAGTCGAGATATATTTAGCACAACATGTAAGCCAGTCACCAGGTTGCCGTACATTAAGCACAAGAAACAGCAGAGCATCGAGGGGCTGCGCCAGAGGTCGTACTCTGAACTCTGCTTGCCTCAGTTCCTGTTGTATGACGGGAAAACCACGAGGAGTTCACTTGATGCAACGAATGATTCCAAAGGAGTTGGCACTGTTAAGAAAGCATCTGGTAAATTTGAGCTATTGCCTAGCCCGGAAGAGGCCAGTAATGGTAACATTGTCATCCACTATTCGTATGGAGCCACAAAGAAGCTGGAATGCTGATTTTAAGGAATTAACCTGTGCGTCACCGACACAGCGGTCAAACGTTGGGCATGCACGAGGGGATGAATTCTGGCCTACCGTGCGCGAATTTCCCGCGCAAAACTTCCGTTAAAAAAATAAGAAACAAACGTTAGCTCGCAAAATAAGAAAAAGAAACTTGAAGTTTTGGTATAAATCTGCAAAAGGGAACAAAAATAGGAAAAAAAACTCGAGAATTTTCGAGAACAAAGCTTATTTAACTACAGGTATCCTGCTGATTTACCATTCTCTTTTGAGGTTTATAAAATTGGTTTTAACAGCCTGAAAGCACTTTATCTAGACATTTCAACGTTTGCATATGTGCAGAAGTTTGACCGCTGTGTTTACATAGCGGACACAGCGGTAAAATGGGTGCGTATGCTCCGCCACTAGAGCGATTTAAGGACCAATAGAGCGTCTAGGGTTACCGTTATGCCTCTTCTGAAAACAAGGCTGACGCGAGTTTTTCCGCCGAGACGACAAATTTAACTTTTCTCCAGGGGGCCTGCCTACTCAGGGAGCAATGACAAGAAGCGCTGAAGCGATAAAAGGTGATACAAACTTTGTACCCCTGATACGGATGATCTACATCAGTCGCTAAATTAATACCTGTTACCGCAATAGTTTTTTGTTGAGTGAGATACGTGACGGAGGAGCTTCGACAGAAACTTCTCTGAGAACGGCAATCTTATCTTTTTTCGTTTGAGCTCATCCCCTGCCTTACAAATGGAAACAAACAAAACAATGGGAATTTTAAAAATACCGCCATTGTGCTGTAATAGTCTTGCTATGTAAATCTTGTCGTTACCATTCCTTTGCGCACGTAAAATTTCCCTCGCATTATAAGCATGGATACTCATTTGTCGTTGTGTCGTTAGTGTTACCTAATATTGGATAGAACGCATGCGCATAAAACAGTTATGACTGGAGATTACCAATTGAACGATTTTTTACAAAAATTAATCTTCAGTTCGCTTTACCTTCGAAACTGAAAAAAAAAGTTCATATTTAAATTTGTTGTCAAACAACTTTGATTTTAAGGCTGTTTAGCAGAACGTGAATGCGACGCATAGGTGCACGATGCTTGAACAGTCGGTGATACAAAGATATATCTATTCCTTTGGAAGATTTTTATATCTAGAACGTTTACGAAAACCGTATGCTGGTATATTTAATAAAATCATTCAGTTTTGCTAAAAAATTCTGCAATTGCTGTTGTATTTGGTTATTCAAGAAGAATCGACGGAAGCCAAAAGTGTAAGCAAACGATTGAGAAAAGTTTGAGCGTTCTTCAGACTTAAACTCAGCGCGGGCCCATTCAGTAGTCTCTAATCTGTGATACTGTTCAAATTGGCACACTGGCCACGTAGTATTTTTCCAGCGGCAATATCAAGTGCGTGCCTTAATATAGAAGTCGCTATTGAGGTGAAAAAAATAATGTAGAGTGGAAGATAGACGTTGGGGTAATGACTGAAAAAGGTCTGCAATCTTCTTTTAACTACAGTTGATCGAGAGGGATTAAAGAGCCTTAGCCGTTTCGCCTTCCGCTCGCTCTTATAGAGTAGCTCCTTATCGGTAAAACAACAAACACGAGTTCTGACTGATTTAATATATTTGTCGTCCGCTTTTACAATATTATAAAGCACTTCCTTTTTCGCTGGAAAGAGTTTCGCCTCAAAAAATGCCGACCAAAAGATCAACAATTTCATCAGCGAAAGGCTGCAAGATAAAAAAAAAATTGAATGTAGATCGAAATCTCTTACAAAATACAGACCGTTTTAATTCCATTTGCTTTCATCAAGTTACAAAATCCAACCCTACCGCATTTCTAATATCTGTTCACGTGATGCAAACGTGCAGATGGGGGTGAGTGGCTTTGTTTGCGCTTGTGCCAAACCAACCGTGAGATTGGAACAGGTTACTGAGGTGGTGTGTACGTGACGGGGAATGATCACGATAGCTACTCGCTTGTCCTGTCATTTAAGTGAGCATACGGGAAGCCCCAGCGATCGAGAGCTTTAGTTTTCGCATGTCGTTAATACTTCTTGCCGTGTAAGAAAACCTCTACAGAGTTGCGGGAAACTTGGTAAGACTCGTGCGCCTCTACCTCTCATCTTTCTCTCTTTGATTTCAGTCAGCTTAGCGCAGGGCGCTCTGTACACCATTGTGATTATTGCTAGCTTTTATTTTAAGTGATAACCCTTTTTCAAACTCCGCTATAAGATTAAAAATTAAAGCGCCCACCCCAGAACGTGCTGCGTCTCCATCGGCTGGTGTTGCCTGATACAATCGCGTGATTATTGTTATGTCCGTGTAAACTGTGTTTTTCGTGGCGAATTCTTTAAATTCTTCATTTAGTCCCCAATTAAGATACTATTCAAAAGGAGCCCAAAAAGTAACGACCACCTTGAAGCTTAAGAAATGATGATGCAATAAAACACGAGCCAAACGACATTCTTTCTCCTTTTCAATTTTAAGGCTTAATAGACTCTCGAGCTTCTATCGATAGCTAAAGAACTCCCACTCCACCCTAATGACAATTAGTTTCGTAGGGCAAGCCTGCTCCAATCCTAAAAACAGATTTTGTAAATTGGATACTGGAGCAACTTGAAAGCCTTCAGCGATCTCTGTGGCTCAGTGGAAAGGCATCGGAGCGCGGAATCCGAAGGTCTGAGGTTCGGGGACTCAGAATTTTTTCTTTGCTTCACACAGCTGACAAAACGTAGAACATTTTTCTCATTTTCTTTACTGAGCTCAAAAACTTGCCCTCAGAAATGTTGAAAAACGGTGACCAAGTCGCTGCAACATTTTCAAAGTTTCTTTTCCCTTCATTTCTTGACTCCATGTACTGGTTATTTTTGTAGGTTTGATACACAGTCCAACGGAGAGGCTATGAGAAGTGGGAAAGATATCAACTGGAGGGTAGTGCTGCTATCAGTGTCACAAAGATTCTCAAGGCCAGTGAACTGAAAAATTTGTAGTCATCAGATAAGAAAACTGAGAGACGCGGTGGCCTAGCGGTTAGCGAGATAAACTCCCAGACATAAGGGTACAGGTTCGAAACATAGGTTCATAGTGTAATATTCTCGGGGAAGACATTTTACTCTCA